TATGTGGCTGGCGCCTTAGCCACTTGAGCCACAGGCGCTGAGCCAGGCTGGTATTTTTCAAGAAAAGATAGAAATCTGGATTTTTAATACGAAAATTTTCAGTTTTTAAATGTTGGCTTAAAAATTGGTTAAGTACTCAAATAGTATAGTAAATACTATACATTATTACTTATTAGGTAACATTGAGTATCATTGTAGTATTCTAAGTTTTAAGCATTATGTAACCTTAGAATTCACCTAGTTTATCCTTCAATTTTGCAGATGATGAAACTGACTTAGAAAGATTGTATTTAAGGTACAGGCCCGGTGAGGTGGCTCACACCTATAATCCCAGCACTCAGGGAGGCCAAAGCGAGTGGATTGCCTGAGCTCACAAGTTGGAGAACAGCCTGAGCTAGAGCAAGATCCTCCAAAAACAGCCAGGCATTATGGCTAATTCCTGTGGTCCCAGATACTTGGGAGGCTGAGGCAAGAGAATTGCTTGATCCCAAGAGTTTGAGGTTGCTGTGAGCTGTGATGTCACAGAGCTCTACCATAGGCAACAAAGTGAAGCTCTGTCTCAAATAAATAAATAAATAGATAAGATACAGTCCATTCTCATTCTTTGTCAACTTCTTTTTTTTATTTTTGAGACAGAGTCTCACTATGTCACCCTCCATAGAGAGCTGTGGCATCACAGCTCACAGCAACCTCAAACTTTTGGGCTTAAGCCAGTGGATCTCAATCTGTGGGTTGAACCCCCTTGTAACAATAAAGATACAGGGTGGCACCTGTAGCTCAAGTGGTTAAGGCACCAGCCACATACACCAGAGCAGTGGGTTTGAATCCGGCCTGGGCCTGCCAAACAGTGACAACTACAACCAAAAAATAGCCAAGCATTGAGAATTGCTTAAGCCCAGGAGTTTGAGGTTGCTGTGAGCTCTGATGCCACAGTACTCTATCCAGGGATATAGCTTAAGGCTCTGTCTCAAAAAAAAACAAACAAAAAACAATTAAAATACATCCTGCATATCAGATATTTACATTACAATTCATAACAGTAGCAAAATTACAGTTATGAAGTAGCAACGAAAATAATTTTGTGATTGGAGGTCACCACAACATGAGGAACTGTATTAAATGTTTGTGGATTAGGAGGCATTAGGAAGGTTGAGAACCACTGGATTAAGCGATTCTCTTGCCTCAGCCTCCCAAGTAGCTGGGACTACAGGCGTTCCCCACAATGCCCGGCTATTTTTTTTTGTTGTAGTTGTCATTGTTTAGCTGGCCCAGGCTAGGTTCGAATCTGCCAGCCTTGGTTTATGTGGCTGGCGCTGAGCCTTTGTCAACTTTTTATTTGCAGATTCACTACTCACTACCTACCCCCAAATCAATACTCAGTGCACAGAGCAGTGAGGAAATCCGACATCCCCACTGCACATTTCCCTGCTAAGGAGATGCTCTGTCTCCTTATTTCTACTCTTCTACTGTAAACAGGAGTCCTTTTCACAGTCTAAATGTTGTTGGGCTTTTTGGATTTTATGTATTTTTTTTCTTGGTGATTTTCCTGTTCAAAATGGCCTGCAAATGTAGCACAAGAACTTAAGAACTGGCTGGATTGGGCGGCGCTTGTGGCTCAAAGGAGTAAGGTGCTCGCCCCATATACTGGAGGTGGTGGGTTCAAACCCAGCCCTGGCCAAAAAAAAATATAAATAAATAAATAAGAAAGTCGTAATTCTACTCATGATTTTCCATAATTCTTAAATTTATGTGACTTACTTTAATTGGATTCTCTTTCACCCATTCCCACTTTGCGGTCTTTGCAAAAAGTCTGATCTTTGTAATGAGATAATAATACTACCTAAGTAAATAACTTAGGACATTGTGGAAATGCTCTCTCATGAATCTATTTGCTGAGTTTTTTTAATATTATGAGGTATAGATTTGGGGGATAAAACCTTCATGGTCTCTTTTTTTCTTTTTATTCTTTTAATGCTATTTTATTTTTCCATGACAGATTCAAAAGCTTTGTGACAGAGTAGCTTCATCTACTTTGCTGGATGATCGAAGGAATGCTGTGCGTGCTCTCAAATCGTTATCGAAGGTCCGTAACACCTCCTAAGTTGTTAGCTTTCTTAGGTTGGATATTAGTTACTTTAATAACATTTTTCCCTATTTCGAAATGTATATGAAAACAGCACACTGTACCCCATGATTGCATTAATGTACATAGTTGTGCTATAAGAAATAAAAAAAATAAATAACATTTTTCCTTTTTATGTGCAGAAGTATCGCTTGGAAGTGGGTATCCAAGCTATGGAACATCTTATCCATGTTTTACAAACAGATCGGTAAGTCTCTGTTTAATGATTATTCTCCCTGATTTTTCATGAACTTTTAATTAATTTATTTTAGAGTCAATATCACTATTCCAGAAGTTATCAACATATTTAAGCTATTAAGTTTTTACTTTCAGTTGTTATTTCAATAAATTTTTATTGGACACTGGATGTAAGCCACCGTGCTAGGCATTGAAGCAGACATATAAAAATGAAGTTACTGCTAATTAAAGACTTGAGATTTGGGGTTTGAATTGAGCAAACAGATGATTGGATATTCACGTATCAACGTATACCATATTATAATATTCATGTTATGGTGTATCAGTTATCCAACTTCTTTTTAAGAGATTTTATTTCCATCTTTGATTATAATAACTGTGTGGATAGCTTTTGAGTCTTAGCTGTAGTGGAATGTCTTACATGGGTTAGGGCTCATCAGACCTTTCTACCTTACCAGGGTCTCTTGCAGGTATTTTAAATTCAGATTGTTGAAATGCTCCTGTATCTCTAGTCTTCTTGTTCCTAGCCCTTCCCTGCCCCGTTCAGCTGCTTTTGCACTGAGTTCATCCTGGTCAATAGCACCTTTCCATTCAAGCCAGAGACTGGAGGATTCTTGTTGACCTCATAGTTCTTCTGAACCCATTATGCCTTTACAGACCGAAAAACAACTGAAATCCATGATTTTGCTCTCCATTTCTTCTGTCAGCCTTTGTTCTTATTCTCAATATCAGTGACTTAAACCACGTTCATAGTCTCTGTTTTAGTTATCTTTTGCTGCATAACAAATTACTGCTGAAGTTTGTGGTTCAAAATAAGAAATATTTGTTATCTCAGTTTGTGTGGATCAGGGATCAGGAATTGGGGGATGGCTTATTGCAGTGAGATCGGGGTCTCAAGAAGTTGCAGTCAAGACACCGAGATCTGCAGTTGTATGCAGATTCGACCGGGGGCTGGAAGACCTGGTTCCAAGATGGCTTGCTCACTTTGCTCCTGGAAAGAGGCCTCAGTTTCTCACCATGTTGCTCTTACTGTAGCAAGTGATCCAGGAGAGAAAATCACAATGCCTCTTATAACTTAGTCTCAGAAGTCACATACTGTCAGTCCCACCACAGTGTGGTTATTAGAGGCAGGTTTTTAAGTATAGTCCATGCTTAAGGGGAGGATTAGCTTCTGCTTTTTGAAGAGAGCTGTATCAAAGAGTTTGGGACATAAATTAAACTCTCCACCACCTATAAACTGTTCTTTGCCTCTGATCTCTTTATACTTCCGTTCAGTTCATATGCTGCAAGAAATGTCTTTCTGAAATGCAGATCTTCTGTCACTCACCTATTTATGCTTTGTGCAATGTAAAGTCCAAGTTTCTCAAACAAAGCAAATAATATAAGCCTATTAAGGGTCTGGGTATTGCCTATCTATCTAACCTCACGGCCTGTGTTTTAGTTGTAGTTCACCAATTCCTGGCTGCTTATTCATACCAGTTAACACTTTCGTCTTCTCCGTAGACAGTATACCCATACTGACTACCTTTTCAAAGCCAACTGAGTCTAATGCACTTGGATCAATGCATTAAATGTGTCAGGACTGTTTGTCTTATTGGCATGCTAGTGGATAACTGTGGAAGGTACAATAATGGCCCACCAAAGATATCTATATGCTTATCACCAAACCTGCAAATGTTACCTTAGATGCAAAAGGGATTTGGCAGATGTGAATTAAGTTAAGGACTTTAAAAAGGGGAGAGTATCCTGGATTATCCAGGTACCCAGTGTTATTGCAAGGGTCCTTAAAATTGGACAGGAAGGCAAAACATGTGGGACTGTAGTGATAGGAGAATAGCAAGCTGCTATTGCTGGCTCCGAAAATGGAGTGAAGGGTGGCGGTGCCTGTGGCTCAGTGAGTAGGGCGCCAGCCCCCATATGCCCAGACTGCTGGGTTCAAACCCAGCCCCGGCCAAACTGCAATGAAAAGTAGCCGGGCGTTGTGATGGGTGCCTGTGGTCCCAGCTACTCAGGAGGCTGAGGCAAGAGTGTTGCCTAAGCCCAGGATTTGGAAGTTGCTGTGAGCTGTAATGCCACAACACTCTACCAAGGGTGATAGGGTAAGATTCTGTCCCTAAAAGAAAAAGAAAATGGAGTGAAGGGCTCATGAGCCAAGGAATATGGGTGGCCGTTAGAAAAGCTAGAAAAAAGCAAGGAAGCAGATTAGTGTGATGCTTATGTGTACTTACAAGCTTTCTTTTTTTTTTGCAGTTTTTGGCCGGGGCTGGGTTTGAACCCACCACCTCCCAGCATATGGGACCAGCGCCCTACTCCTTGAGCCACAGGCGCTGCCCTACTTACAAGCTTTCTTTATTCCATGTTTGTTAGATCACACGTGCATGTTCTCCCTGAGTCTGAGATAGGAATGAAATGACTGACATCTCAGTGTGGAAAGTAGAACACCGTCTCTTGTGCAGCATTCCACTTCATTGTTATTTTCATTACACAGCACAAAATAAATGTGTGAATACTCTTGATAAAGGTTAAGTAATAGATTTTAAGATTGTTACTGCATGTTTACTGAGTGCCAGCCATCATACTTAGGAGTAGAATATACAGCATAGCCTTGTGAATATGTGAGCAGGTAATTAAGTCAGGGGCTGCTGAGTAAGCAGCAGTTCTTGGGACTCTTAGACGATAAAAAAACAAAACTTCTGTGATCCATCTTGCATTTCATTCCCTGTCTTATGCTAAATTCCCTTTTCATTTGCCTGTGATACTTAGCATATTTTCCTCTGTTTTCAAAGTGTTCTGTGGATGTTTTTTAAACTTCAGTAGATGCAGAGGTCTGTGTTCCACGGCCATCTATCTCCCTCTCCACCCGCTCTTCACCTTCATTACTGTTTTGTGCTTCTTGTCCTGGCCTGTATAACACTGAGAATTTTTGCACTGAATCCCCTTCGTCCACAGCTGCATTGAAGAGAGTCACATTCCCTTTCGTGGCTTAGCCTACAACTCCATCTGGCTGTGGATCTGCTTCCCTGTAACCACCTTAAGGAAAAACTGCTCATTCTCCTAACTTTCACCCTCAAGGCCCAAAAGTTGTCTGTCAGTTAACATTGCCAACCCATGATACCTCAATAGATGTTTTACTTGAGCTATAATTTGTATGTATTACATATATGTAATTTATAGATCATACAATTCACTCTTTTAAAGTGTGTTTTAATAGTTTTAGTCTGTTCACAAAATTGTGCAACCATCACCACTATCTAATTCCAGAACATTGCATCACACACCCACGTCCAATACCTATTCTGTATTCCTTCCCACTGCCATACGTGACAACCACTAATTCACTTTTTGTCTATAGATTTTACTATTTCGGGCATTTCATATAAGTGGAATCATACAGAGTGTGGTCTTGTGTCTGGCATCTTTCACTTAGCCTGACATTTTAAGGTTCATCCGTGTTGAAGCATGTATTAGTATAGCATTCTTTTTATGGCTGAGTAGTATTCCATTGTGTGGATATACCACATTTTATTTACCCATTTATCAATTGTTGGACATTTGGGTTATTTCCAGGTTTTGACTATTTTGAATAATGTTATGAACGTTCATATAGTTTTTGTGTGAGCGTATGTATTCAGTTTTCTTGGGTTTATATAATACCTAGGAGTGTAATTGCTGGGTCATAGGATGACTCTATGTTTAACTTTTTGAGTAAGTGTCAATCTCTGTTCCATAGGGACTGTGCCATTTTATATTTTCTCCAACAGTATATGAAGGTCCAGTTTCTTCACATCCTCACCAATTCTTGTTATTGTCCCCCCCCTTTTTGCAGCCATCCTAGTGAGTATAAAGTGGTATTCCATAATATTTTCTGATAGTGGTGTTGATTTGCATTTGCCTAATAATAATGATGTTGAGCATCTTTTTCATGTGCTTATTGGCCATTTGTTTATATTTTTTGGAGAAACATCTATCCAAATCTTTTATTAATTTTTAATTAGATTATTTGTCTTTGCATTTGGGGGTTATATATATATATATTCTGGATATAAGTCCCTTATAAGATAAATGACTTGCAGATATCTTCTCCAGTTCTGTGGATTGTCTTTTCACTTTCTTGATAGTATCCTTTGAAGCACATAAGTTTTTTAATTTTAGCCAGGACCAGTGACTGATGCCCCAAATCTTAACATTCTGGGAGGTCAAGACATTCTGGGAAGATAGCCTGAGCTCAGGAGTTTGAACAAGAGCAGCCTGAATAAGAGTGAGATCCCATCTCTACTAAAAACAGAAAAATTAGCTGGGCATGATGGTGAGAACCTGTAGTCTCAGTTACTTGGGAGACTGAGGCAGGAAGATGGCTTGAACCCAGGGATGTGAGGTTGCTATAAGTCAGATGATGCCTTGGCACTCTATCCTGGGATAACAGAGTAGATGTTGTAAAAACAACAACAAAAATAAGTTTTTTAATTTTGGTGGAATCCAACTTTTTTCTTTTATCTTCTGCCTGTGCTTTTGGTGTTACATCTAAGAAACAGTTATCTAATTCAAGATTTTGAAGATCTATATCTGATTTCTTCTAAGATTTTATAGGTTTAGCTCTGTAGGTCTTTGATCCATTTTGAGTTATTTTTTGTATGGGCTGTCTGATAGGGGACCAACTTCATTCTTTTCCATGTGGATGTCTAGTTGACCAAGCACCATTTGTTGAAGAGACTGTTCTTTCTTCATTGAACAATTCTGACATCCTTGCTGAAAATCAGTTGAAATAAATGTTATTATTTTTATTTCTTCACTGTCAATTCTATTCTATTTATCTATATGTCTATCCTTATCACAGTGCGAGAAAGTGTTGATTACTGTAAATTTTTAGTAAGTTTTGAAATCAGAAAATATGAGTTTTCCAACTTTGCTATTCTTTTTCAAGATTCTTTTGGTTATTCTGAATCCCTTGTATTTCCATATGGCTTTTATGACTAGCTTATCAATTTCTTATCAACAACAGGAACTAGAATTTTGATAGACATTGTGTTGAATCTGTAAATCAGGTTGCCACTGTAACAATATTACCTCTTTCTATCCATCAGTGCAGAATATCTTTTCACTTATTTGGATTACTTCTTCCACAGTGTTTTCTGCTTTTCAGTGTACAAGTCTTGTTCATCTGTAGTAAAATTTATTCCAAAGTTTTAATATTACATATTTTATTTTAATATTGAATATTTTAATCTTTTTGATGTTATTTAAATGAAATTATTTTCTTAACTTCATTTTCTGATTGTTCATTGCTAGTTTGTAAAAATAGACATGAACCTGCCACCTCCAGCATATGGGTCCGGCGCCCTACTCTTTTGAGCCAAAGGCGCCGCCCTAGAACTGTCATTAGTATATTTAGCTTGTATCCTGCAACTTTGCTGAATTTATTAGTTCTAGTAAATTTTTAATAAATTCCTTAAGACTTTAATGAATTAATGTACAAGATTATGTAATCTGTGAAAAGGTATAGTTTTACTTCTTCCTTTCCAATCTTCTTGCATGTTGTTCTAGCTAGAACCTCCAGTTCAGTGTTAGGTGGAGGTGGTGAGGGGCGTCACTGTCTTTCTTATTCCTTACCCTAGGAGGGAAGCATTCCATCTTTCACCATTATGTCCGAAGTTGAGTGTGACGTCTTCATACGTGCCTTTGTCATGTTGCAGAAGTTCCCTTCCATTACTAGGTTCTCAAGGTTCTTAAAAGATGCCCCTCGAAATTTCTCAAAAACAAGACAATAAATAATCTTTTATTTTTATTTTATTATTATTATTTTTTTGAGACAGAGTCTCTCTCTGTTGCCCTAGGTGGAAATGCGGTGACATCATAGCTCACAGTAACCTCAAACTCTTGGGTTCAAGCGATTCTCTTGTTGCCTCAACCTTCTGAGTAGCTGGGACTATAGGCATATGCCACAACGCCCAGCTGTTTTTAGATAACTGCTTGCTCAGGCTGATCTCAAACTCCTGAGCTCAAGCAATCTACCTGCCTTGGCCTTCCAGAGTGCTAGGATTACAGGCATGAGCCACTGCGCCCAATCTCAGTAAATAATTTTTTAAAAATCTACTTTGATATTTGTATCCTCTGGTTGTAACCCCTTTTGATACCTTATCTTTGTATGTATCAGGCCTGATCACTTCTTCATATTCACCGAATCTTCAGACATATATCTCCACTCTTGCTTTCCGCTCTAAATGCCATTATTTTACATTATTTCAGAATTTCTCTGTTCGTCAGCAACTACAAACTCTTATAGTTCTTTATTTTATAAATAATACATGTTTACTATAAGATTTTTCTTTTAAGAAAATAATAAATAGAGAAGGGAAACAACTTTAAAAGTCCAATTGGAAATATGTTAGGTGTGTGTCTATTTAAAACAAAGAAAACATATATATAAACACATATACATAAAATTATCTGAGTTGTGCTAGTTTTGCTGGTTTTAAAGTTGGGTTTATCTTATAAATGTATACTATTTTAAAATTACGTATAGACACAGATATACATACATGTTTTACTAAATGTGATTATTCTGTACATATTTTTTGTACTCAGTTTTTTCCATTTGGCATCATATCAAGAGTTTATAAAATTATCATGGTTTTGTATATTCTTTAAAAATACATTTTTGGCCGGGTGTGGTGGCTTTTGCCTGTAACCCTAGCCCTTTGGGAGGCTAAGGCAGGAGGATTGCTTGAGGCCAGGAATTCAAGACCAGCCTGAGCAAGGAAGTGAGAGCCCATCTTTATAAGAAGTAGAAAAATTAGCTGGATGTGGTGCATGTTCCTATTCTCCTAGCTACTCAGGTGACTGAGGTAGCCTCAAGGATCAGCTGAGCCCAAGAGTTGGAGGCTACAGTGAGTGATGATGATGCCAGTGTACTCTAGTCAGAGCCACAGAGCAAGAAAGTGTCTCAAAAAACCCAAAAATGAAAAGCATTTTAATTGCTGCATGATATGTATGGATTTGCCATACTGTTTTCTTTTTTCTTTTTCTTTTTTTTTTTTTTTGAGACAGAGTCTTATTTTGTCACCCTTGGCAGAGCACTGTGGCATCACAGCTCACAGCAACCTCCAGCTCCTGAGCTTAGGTGTTTCTCTTCCCTCAGCCTCCCAAGTAGCTGGGACCACAGGCCCCCGCCACAACACCCAGCTATTTTTGTTGCAGTTTGGCCCGGGCTGGGTTTGAACCCACCACCCTTGGTATATGGGGCCAGTGCTTTACTCACTGAGCCACAGGTGCTGGCCCATACTGTTTTCTTTTATTGTTGAACATTTAGTTTGTTTCTGATTTTTTGCAATTATATAATCTTCCACATGTTTATAGTTTGCAATCTGATATTTTCTTAGAATAGGATTTTAGAAGTAGAATTTTTGTTTCATGTGGTTTTGTTTCTTGACTATGTAAAAGCAGTCATAAAAATTTACACTCTAAGTAGCAGTGTAAAAGTTTAATAATTTCTTTTTTCCAGTTCGGATTCTGAAATAATAGGTTATGCTTTGGACACACTATATAATATAATATCTAATGATGAAGAAGAAGAAGTAGGTAAGTTTTGAGTTATTTTTATTGTCTTTTTCTGTTAACTGGGTTGTGCTAATATTGCTGCTTTTAAAGTTGAGTTTATGTCACAAATTTATGTACAAGTTTTTTTCTTTTTTCTTTAATAAGCATATAGCTTTAGTTCTAGAAATGTATTTTTAGGGTGATTGTGAATGATTTGGAACATTATAATAAGATGGAATAAGATCCTTCTTTTTTAAGTGATAATGTGCCCTCTTTGTATTTGGTTTTAGTTAAGCAGTATACATTTTGGCCAGTTCTGGGTTAAATAATCATTTTTGACTTTTGATTGAAAAATCACACTATTTAATTTATATGTTATTATTGGCAGGCAGTATGAAATTCAAGGGTTTTTCCTAATAAATACTTAAACTTTATACATAGGGCTTATGTTTAGAGCAGCAATTTATTAAATTTAGAAAGTGCTTTTTCTTTACATTAAGTCTGGTGTGCAGTGATAATGAATAAATTTGAAATCTACACATGTCTCTAATACATTCTCTTTTTTCTTTTTTGTTTCAAAATATCACATATTAGTAGTAAGGCAGTCTGTCATTTACTTACTTTATTGACACTGAAATTCTTGCTTGGAAGTCTGTGCACATTCTGTCCTCTATCCCGGGAAACATACATGGTGCGCAGCCCTGTGCAGTGCTTTGGAGAGCACATTCTTACTGTCACATGGGTGGCTGCTGTAGGAAATAGTGGGTTTTCCATTGTTTTTTAAAAAAGTCAGAAGATTAATGTATTCATGCATTTTATAAGTCTAATTTACACTGAAATTATGTTGTTCTTTCAAAATTATGAGTACATTAATCATAAAGAACCGTGTATATTGTTGCACTGTTTTATTAAAGGAGCAGGAGTATATGTGGGTATTAGCTTCACAGAATGCTAGTAATGAGGACATTTGAATCTGGGTTGTGTTGAACAGTCAGAATTCCTTAGACTGAATTATCCTTTTATTTATATTTTTACTTCTCTATGATATCTAGGCTATTACTCAACTTTATTAATTCCTTGGGGGTGAAAAATATTTAGTGAATATAATTTGGTATTCATGGAAAAAGAGGGTATTGGTCACATGACACTTAAATACAATAAACAATATACTTTGAAGAAAAAGATACTTGTTTTTCTAGTTATTTGTAAGGTAAGAAAATTAGATGCAACACACTTGTTTCACTGTATTAAAGAAAAAGACTTTCTTTTTCTTTCCTTTTTTTCTCCCTTAGTTGTTTCAGATTAGAAATTTAGCTCTAGAAAAGGTAGTTTTCATGGGATGATTTTTCTGTTCTTAAATATATATATAACAGCAATAGATTTTAGTTAATTGGTTTCCTTTATTATAAACTTACATTGTAATTGTGTTTCGAGCCCACCTTTTTTGTTTTTCTTTGCATATTTAGGCTCTTTACTTTTAATTTATCATACAAAACTGATTCTTTGGATAAAACAAGATAAACAGTTGTTTCAATAAGCAGTGGTGGAGTCACTTTTTTAAAGGATTTTTTCTTCTGAAAATTTACTCATCCTGGAAGAATCAGTCTTTAATCTAGATACTGAGAAATGTGTTCTTCAGTTCTTTACTGATTCTTCTCCTTTACTCCTTCTTCAGAGGTAATTCTGAGCTGACGTAATGAACTTTACTTTAGAATTTTTTACTTTAGGAATATTTTGTAACCCTTTAATGATAAATCTATCTCATAGTCCTAAAAATATAGCATGTGCTTTCTCTCTTTTGATATCTCAGCTTTAACTAAAATGAATATTCTTCTTCCAAAAACTATACACGTATCATATGTACTCTTGGTTTGAGACTTTTAAGCTCCTTTTTTATTGTGTATACTAGTACTAGTACATCAAAAACTGTTTTATCACCCACTTTTCATTTATTTACTTTTGTCTACCTTTTCAGATGATGTTGAAGGTAAAAGATTGCATTTACATATGCATGATGCTTTTAGGCATAATTTCTGATAATGTAAAAGGACACTGTCAAGTGATGTTTCTTCTGGCTGGTAAAGAAATCCAAGATTTGTTTTACTATACTAAAATTCATTAACTAAAGAGGAATATTTGATAAAGTTACTGTTATTTCTATGGCTACTAAATCTATTTACTGTCTGGAACACATAAAATACTCTACTACATCTCTTAAAAAAATAAAACGCTTTCTTTGGTAGGACAGTTTATTCAAAATTATTTCATGTATACTTCCTAGAAAAAAAATTTTTAGACAGCTTATTTAAAAATAATATTTACTAGTTGCTGTGACTCAGGAGGCTAAAGCTGGAGGATGGCTTGGGGCCAAGAGTTTGAGGGTACAGTGAGCTATGATCATACCCATGAATAGCCACTTCGCCCTAGCCAGGACAATACAGTGAGATCTCATCTCTAAAAAAATAAGTATGTATACATGTATTATCAAGGTATACATGCATATTTTACCTATAGTCAGTAAGAACTGGAAGTTATTCCAGTTCAGAGAATAGTTGTATATTGGTATTGTCCCTTTAAAAATCAGTGCATGTACGGTACTGTTCTAGTTACTGACATTTCTTACATTAATTCTTAAAACTCACCAATATTTTGATGATCTGTTTCAAGTTCCATTTACTTTTAATATTGATATTTCTTTTCCTCATAATTAAACTAACCAAATTTTTGTTGTTTTACCAATTTTCTTGAGTTGTTTAGCTTTTTTAATGCGGAAAGGAATATTGTTATCTAAAGTAGTTTTAAAACAGTACATAACAAAGTTACGTATACATAACAAAACAACTAACAAAGAAACTAACTTATAAAAGTATGAAGCATTACTTTTTGTGACGTTTGAATCCCTTGTCTGAAATACCAGAGCCTTGTACTTTGACTTTTGTCAGGTTGTGTCCTTGTTGGGTGTACAGATCAGCCCTTTATTCTGTTACTGTTTTATCTATTTGTATGAAGGCTTCAGAATTTAGCCTTTTCCTGTTCATTCCCTTAATCCTCATCCTAGCCTCTGAGGTAGGTGGTATTTTTCTCTTTTGTCAAGATGAGAAAATGAAAGCTCAGAGTTTATGTAACTTAGGTGGTGTCATCTAGTGAGTAGAAGGATTTTTTAATATGTATTTTTCTCTTTTTTTTTATTAGTATTTTATAAATTTCTAGTGGAAAAAATTGTGGCCAATTTTATTATTATTTTTCTTACTAGATTCTTTATTAAATCGTGTAACTTACAGACTAGTTTACAGAAGATTCAAATAAATGTTAAAAAGTATAGGTGTAC